CTCACTCTCACTCTCACTCTCACTCTCACTCTCACTCTCACTCTCACTCTCACTCTCACTCTCACTCTCACTCTCACTCTCACTCTCACTCTCACACTCACACTCACTCTCACTCTCACTCTCACTCTCACTCTCACTCTCACTCTCTCTCACTCACTCACTCACTCACTCACTCACTCACTCACTCACTCACTCACTCACTCACTCACTCACTCACACACACACACACTCTTAGAAAAGTCTGTGAAATCCAGGCACAATGTACCCTGTCATTATGAAGGAATTGAACTGTCCATATTGATTACTCACAGGTTTTTACCTGTATTTTGAATAATGCATTAACTAGACCCATATGTAAAAATGAACGGAAAATGTACTGGTTAGTTCTTTTCTTAAAGTGAGTTGTCTGAATGTGCATTTAAAAATCATGTTTTACTACGAAATGCATCACTTTATGAAAGCAAAAGGAGTTTTGAAACTGTTTAAGACAAAACTCTCTCTCTGTAGATAAACTGATCAAATTTGATCAAAGCTACAAAAAAATTCAATCTAAGAATGTTTCCATTAAGTTATGAAAATGTTACTTCTGAATGTTCTTAGAAAGTTCAAAACAATCATTTTTTATTGTAAATGTTTAAAAAACGTTTGTTTCTTGGTTATGTGAACATTACAGAGAAAAAAGGGAATGTTACATTTTATTGTTTTGCAATCATTATTTGAATATTACTTTTGAATGTTCTCTGAACAATGAGAAACAATTGCTCAACTAACGGCGAACGTTCTAACATTTTTTTTTAAGTTAGAGCAAAACGTTCTTAAAATATTGTTTATATTCTAGCTTTATTAATATTCGATACACAACGATTGAAAACGTTCTCGAAATATCCGTGTTATTTCTACTTGATGAATGTTCTAAAAACGTTTTTGTCACCTTTAAATAACATTCAAATCATGACAAGAAAGCTGGACATTTTAACATTATCAGAATATTACAAATAAAGAGTCAAATACCGTTATATTTTGGATGAAAATAAAGTGAGTGGAACATTGTAAAAATATTTTTATCCTTTAAATAACATCATAATCATAATCAGAGAAAACTGGATATTTTGATATTTTAGAAACATTTTAAAACAATGTTCCCACAATGTTTTTATAAGCTAACCGTGTTACCTGTGTAGACTGGTTTTGTGCTCCAGGCTCACATTTGTTCCTAACTTTGAGAGAACCAGAACGTCTTGTTATATTTCATATCCCATGCATTTCTCAGTGTTTCAGGTGGACCAGATCCAGGCACTTCCTCTCTGACTACAGGAAGTGACATCATTACCTGTTTACGAGCAGGACCTTGGGTGAGACCGGCACATGAGCTACAGAAACGCCTGCATGTATGAATGTGAGTGGAATACAACATTCCCCCCAAAACGGCCATAATCACACACAAGCTGACCTTCAGCTCTCAAACCCCACCACACGTGATGAACGGCCTGCTGAAGATCTGCTGCAGTTGTGTGTCATCTGCAGATGTGTTTGTGTCTGTATGTTTGGCTCTGATCATCATATTTACTGCAGTTACAGGAAAACACACGAAAGAGACTGGACATGAGCAGAAGATGTGCTGGTCAGGGTTCATGACAACATCAAAATAAATCATGCAATATTCTTTATTTCAAGGAAACTGAAGGTTATTTATAAACTGTTAGAAAAAAAGTTAGAAATGCTCAGAAATTGCTAGTAAATTTCACAAACAATTACAAAGAAATGGCACATAACCCTGAATTAAATGAGAAATTGTGAAGCTGAAAAACATAGTCTTTTTTTTATTTACAACTTCAAAAAATGGCTTTTTACACTGTAGAATTGGATTTTTATTTTTGAACTGTGAAATTATTTTTGTGGCAATTTCTCACGTTTGCTCTCAAATTCTTAATACTGCGATGTGAAAAAAAACTTTAATTCTCACTATTTTCAATTATTATTCTTTTGTTAACCAAATTATAGTAAAATATTACTGTATTAATAAAATTTTAATTGAAATCAGCATAATATGAATCATTACAAAAACTGCCATCGTATAAATATTCACGATTTAAATCAGTGTTTTTCTTGCATTACACTAATTTAGAGAATTTCTGCAGGATAAATTAAAATAATTTAACAATGTAAAAGTCTTATTCTAAAAACAGGATTAATTTTCTATATGCAAAATAGTTATTTTTCTTTTGATTTCGAGGTGAAAAAATGACACACTCACTCCCTCTCTCTTATAGTAAAATATTACTGTATTAATAACATTTTAATTGAAATCAGCATAATATGAATC